ATTTAAGTAGATTCTAATTAGATTTACTGAACCGACAGAATTTAGACGAATTCTAATCAGATTTGCTAAACCGATAGAATTTGAGCGGATTCTAATTAGATTTACTAATTTAGCGGATTTTGTAATTTCCGCGACAAACGCGTAATTAGCAATTTCAAATTTTATAGAAACTTTTCAGATTTATAGATGCAGTTAAGCCTATTTATAAGCTTTTAATTAAAGATCGTAGTCTATATAAATTATCTAAAAAATAGACTATTATATAGTAGTAGAGGGAGTAAGTTATTCTACGAACTATAGTTTAATAAGAAATCGAATCTAAGTTACGAAAAAGTCTTCGATTATCTATACTTAATTTATTTATTAAAAGAGAAACGAGAAAGTAAGTTATATATTATAGTTTATCTAGAATAAGAGTAGTATTAAGATCGTATCTAGCGACGACGATAATGAGAAGAACCATAGGAGGCCTATATCGGATATCACACCGTCGCTACGAATCGAAGAAATTAAAGATATACGGGATTCTTAAATAGAGGGAGAAGTTTCTATTAACTTCTTAGAAAATACGAATAATAGTAGAGATTCGAGACTAAGTAATTTAAATATATGCTAAAGTAAATTAAAATCTCCGCTAGATCTTCGCGAAGCTAGAGAGACTCTTAATATCTTAAGTAATAAGGAAATAATAAATTAAGAAACGATATCTGAGATTAATATTTAATAATCTATTATATCTATATCTATCTCTAACTCTTTTAATCGTATTAAATAACGTCTTATATCTTAAATCGTCATCTATTCTAGAAGAACAAACTAGAGAGTTATATTAAAAGTTTACGTTATTTCTCTACTTTCTCTACTTTCTCTATAAAGATTTTTTCGAAGAGTAATATTAACTATTTACTCTATTATCTCTATCTTTCTAATAATTAAATAAAGAGAAAGTATTAATTTTAATAACTTATAGTTATTAGTTATAATATAGCTAAAAACTATAGTTATATAGTTATAGATAAATATAATTATAAGTAATATAGTTATAGATAATAGTAGTTATAGATAATATAGTTATTAGTAATAATAGTTATAGATAATATAGCTATAGATAATAGCTATATAGCTATAGCTATAATATATTAAAGTAATTAGTTTACTTAATATATATATAAAACTAATATATTTAAAAGGCTAAGATATATCTTTCGAAGTAATTCGATTTATTATAGATTATAAGCCGAAATCGAATAACTCGAAGAAACGAATCTCTAGTAATTTGACGAGTAACTTTTTACATTTATATTAGACTCATATTTACTATATAAAGTTCTTTTCTTATATTCTATCTATTTATATATACGATCTATTTATATAATATTTATATATAGCTCTAGCTCTAATTATATTAAGTATAGTTTATTATATTACTAATATTATCGAGCTAACTTAGCCGATCTAATTAAAGAGCGTAGCGAACTCGAATTTATAATTAGCTATATATATAAATTTAAGATTTTTAAGCTTAGCTCTATCTTATTCTATTATATATATTAATTATAAATAATAATAAGAAAAAACTTATAAGTTATAAGAATAATTCGGCTATTACTAGGCTATAGACTAAAAGAATCGAAGATATCGCGCTTTATAATCGATACGTTCTATTTAATTCTATAAGAGTCTACTATACTCTCGCTATAGACTATTAAAGCGATAACGTTCTAATAACTATTCGCGATATAGTTATAAGAATAATTCGGCTATTACTAGGCCATAGGTTAAAAGGATCGAGAGTATCGCGCTTTATGGCCGATACGCCCTATTTGACCCTATAAGAGCCTACTATACCCTCGCTATAGACTATTAGAGCGATTACGCCCTTATAACTATCCTCTCTCTAAAGACCGCGTCCTCGCGGCTCTAAAAAGAATTAATTCGAGGGCTTTACCCTAACCAGCGGTTCTCGTAAAGCCGACTTAAGGCGCAGTGCGCTACCCTTCGGTTGTCCGGGACTTCTTATCTTAGAGGTTCCTATAAGATATAAGATACGTTATAGAGACCCTTTCGGGGTATATACCTCGATATATATATACCGAGGTTCGGTTATCGGATATTTAGCTCTATCTAAATAAAAGCCTTAGAATATAGAATTATATCGCTCCTAGAAGCCGGTATCCGATAAATCTAAAACTTTTACCCTCTGAAAAATGTTTTACGACCTATATATAACGGGCTCGAACCCTTAGAAAATTAGCGGATATATCCTATAGTAGCTAGCCTTCTCGAGGTTAGTTAAGCCTCGAAATTTTAGCGCGATATAGTTATAAGAATAATTCGGCTATTACTAGACTATAGACTAAAAGAATCGAGAGTATCGCGCTTTATAACTAATACGCCCTATTTAATTCTATAAGAGTCTACTATATCCCCGCTATAGACTATTAAGGCGATTACGCCCTAATATAAATCTTCTTTCTTTATTTTTATCGAGCTTAAAAAAAAAAATTCTATTATTAAGACGAGAAGATTAAGTTATTTTAAGAAAAGAAGAAGATAATAACTCTAAGAAGACGTCTATATAACCTCTTAAATCGAGACTTAAATTTTTAAAAATAAAGATATTTTTAGATTTAAGGCGAGTTATCTCAATTTATTAAATAAGAAAATAATTACTATTTATATAATAACGAACTTTATATATAAAGATAATAATTACTTTTACTAAAGTATTTATAGATCTAAAATTATAATTTTAGAAAAGAGAGTAGATAAGAGATTTCTCTAATCGAGTAATTTCTAAAAAGAGATTAAGTTAATATTTTAAGATTAACTTTATTAAATATATAAATCTTAATTATAAAGAACGTTAGTAAATAGATTATAAATCTATATAATCGATTTAATAATCGAATAATAATTCTTATTAAGAATCTACTTATAGAGTTTAGGATTTTTTATTAAAAAAGCTTAAAATTAAAAGGCGAGTAAAATCGTTAATTCTATTAAAATAGATTTTCTAACTTCGTTAATTATAAATAATTATACTCTATTATAAAGAAAGATATAAAAAGAAATAAAAAGAAAGTCTTATTAAAAAGAAAGAAAAGTGTTAAGAATAAAAGATAAGTTTTCTTTAAGAGAAGGAAAGCTATTTAAAAAGATAAGAGAAATTAAATAACTCTTATAGCGATTCTTTCTTTTAAAAAAGATTCTTTCTTTAAAAAAGTAATATTCTAATAGAAGAAAAACTTCTTAGTATAAGAATAGTATCTCTAATACGAAATAGTAAGAATAGTATATTAATATAGAAAAGCTTATATTATTACTAATTATTAAGATTACTAATATAAGAAGTAAGCATATACTTCGAAAAAGAAGTTTTACGAAGAAGCGAAAGGTATTTCTTAGTTTTAATTATAATTAATTAATTAATTACTTAAGCTAAAGCTATAAATAAAATCGAAGAAAGAAAGCGATATATTAAGTTACGCTAGTAAGATTTCTTACGCTATACTAAAAACGTAATAATTATAAATTTAATTTATAGATCTTTACTTATTACTCTATATAAATAATAAATAAATTTATATAATATTAAGTTTATATTAATAACTCTATAAGTATTTCTAAAATATCTTTAATACTTCTATTTTTTATAATATATTTAAAGAATATATTTATAATATTTTATAAAATTATAAAATACGATATATACTTTCTAATAATATAAAATATAATATATACTTTCTAATAATATAAAAATTTAAAAATTTAAATATATAATAAAATTATTTATATATATAGATTTATATTTATAAATTAACTTCGCGACTTTTAAATTATTTATATAATTAATATTATCGTATCTTATACTCTCTTCTCTTTTTATCTCTATTTTATAGCGATTTTAATTTTAAAAACTTTTAAAAAAATTAATTATAAGTATTAAGAGTACGTATCTTAATATTTTTTTATTTTTTTATTTCGTATTTAAAACGCTTATAAAGCGTCTCTAATATTTAAAATTAAATAAAAATTTAAAAATTTAAAAATTTAAAAATTTATATATTAAATTTATAGTTATTTTCGCTTTAATCTTAATTAAATAGAGATCTAATAATTATTTTAAATATTTATTAAAATACTCGATTATATCTATAAATTAAAATTTTTATTTTAAATAATTTTATATTTCTTTTATTAATTTAAAATAATACAAGTAAAGGCCCATGAATTAAATTCATGGAGTTGGATTTTTCATTTTTCTAAGTTAAATGGAGTTGGATTTTTCTAAGTCAAATGGAATTTTAGCCCTAGCCCTAAGTCAAATCGAACTCTGATCGCTTGCTGTGCGTTTTTGACCTACTTCCACCACTACAAAATTAATTTAATCTATGTGGTATATAGGCATATATGTGCGGAGAGAGGCGCGCTAAGGCCTAATTAGAAAGGTGTATCAAGTGTGAAGGATTGATCCGTAATAATTGCCCACAAAAAACAGAGAAAGGCCATGTTCTTATGGCAAGAAGTATCGAAATACCGGAAAGAAATGGAGACAACATGCCAATTAGTGGTGTGAATCCCACATTATCTCCTGCCGCAGTGAAATCATTCGAATAATGAAATAGCTGTCAGAGCAAGACATCGGACGGTTTTAATTCGTCCAAATATGTATCGTCCGATGTTCCTCCTGTAGAGGCCCAATTGACTGTGATAGTAGATCCTCCTCTTGTGACGTTATTGCAGTGATGTATCATATTAATGCAGTGGGGATGACAGGCCAAGTTGTAGTGGTGTTCTCCGCTTGCTGATGATTTGATGTGGAACCGTGGAGAGCATATGACGTGGGATCTTGGAGAGCTGAGCCGTGTTCTTGACGATGGTGGCCTTGTTGCCGCTTGGTTTCTCCGCAGTGTTCTCCATAGTGTTCTCCGCAGTGTTCTCCGCATTTGCCTGTTGTAGTTCCTCCTCTTACTCCTTAATGCAGTGGGGATGATAGGCTAAGTTGCAGTGGTGTTCTCCGCTTGCTGAGTGATGATTTGATGTGGAATCGTGGACAGCATATGACGTGGGATCTTGGAGAGCTGAGCCGTGTTTTTGACGATGGTGGCCTTGTTGCCGCTTGGTTTCTCCGTAGTGTTCTTCGCATTTGCCTGTTGTAGTTCCTCCTCTTGCTCCTCCTCTTGTAGAGTATCAGACTGAGTGGCTAGCTGAGTGGCTGACTGAGTGGATGACTGATATAACGTGGGATCTTGGAGAGCTGAGCCGTGTTCTTGACGATGGTGGCCTTGTTGCCGCTTGGTTTCTCCGCAGTGTTCTCCGCATTTGCCTGTTGTAGTTCCTCCTCTTACTCCTCCTCTTGTAGAGTATTAGACTGAGTGGCTAGCTGAGTGGCTGACTGAGTGGATAACTGATATAACGTGGGATCTTGGAGAGCTGAGCCGCGTTCTTGACGATGGTGGCCTTGTTGCCGCTTGGTTTCTCCGCAGTGTTCTCCGCATTTGCCTGTTGTAGTTCCTCCTCTTGCTCCTCAATGTAATGGGGATGACAGGCCAAGTTGCAGTGGTGTTCTTCGCTTGCTGAGTGATGATTTGATGTGGAACGGCCAAGTTGCAGTGGTGTTCTCCGCTTGCTGAGTGATGATTTGATGTGGAACCGTGGAGAGCATATGACGTGGGATCTTAGAGAGCTGAGCCGTGTTCTTGACGATGGTGGCCTTATTACCGCTTGGTTTCTCCACAGTGTTCTCCGCATTTGCCTGTTGTAGTTCCTCCTCTTACTCCTCAATGCAGTGGGGATGACAGGCCAAGTTACAGTGGTGTTCTCCGCTTGCTGAGTGATGATTTGATGTGGAATCGTGGAGAGCATATGACGTGGGATCTTGGAGAGCTGAGCCTGTTCTTGGTGCTGGGGGCCTTGTTGTCGCTTGATTTCTCCGCAGTGTTCTCCGTATTCGCCTGCTGTAGTGACTTCTCTTGCACTGGCTGAGTGGATTGGTGTGAGACCGTGGAGAGTAGGCCTGTTGTGTCACTGCTGCTGATGACTGTCTCCGCAATGTTCTCCGCAGTGTTCTCCGCATTCGCCTGTTGTAGATCCTCCTCTTGTTTAATTGAGTGCGAGGGTACCGAGGGTAAATGTGTTCATATTGGTGGAATTGGTAGAATTGGTAGAATTGGTAGAATTGGTAGAATGGTGGAAGAATAACAAACAGGTGGAAGGATTATTATCCGATCCGGGACGCGTCTGGTGTGACTACCATGACTACCATATTTGAATGTCCATTTAATCCACCAATAGTAGGCCAAACTTCATAATTTTTACAGCGTTAGAAAGCGCAAAGCGAGCTCTACAATTTGAGGAATTATGAAGTAACTGTATGTATCGCAAGCTGAGTACTTCAAAGTGTAAAACTTCTACATACAAATTTTTGATGAGGGAGCTCGGGAGGGCTACCGGGCTGACTCAGCCGGTCTAACCAAAGAGCGTAGTGACCCTGAATTGATGATTGGCTGCACATACAAATTCAAGGTTTTCTAGTTCAGCCCTACCTTATTCTGTTATATATACTGATTAAATAATATTAAATTTATAATTATATAGATAATCAGTATATATAAAAGAATAAGGTAGGGCTGAGCTTGAAAACCTTGAATTTGTATGTGCAGCCAATCATCAATTCAGGGTTACTACGCTCTTTAGTTAGACCGGCTGAGTTAGCCCGCTAGCCCTCCCGAGCTCCCTCATCAAAAATTTATGTGTAGAAGTTTTACACTTTGAAGTACTTAGCTTGCGATATATACAGTTACTTTATAATTCCTCAAATTGTAGAGCTCGCTTTGCGCTTTCTAACGCTGTAAAAATTATGAAGTTTGGCCTACTATTAGTGGATTAAATGGATATTTAAATATGGTAGTTATAGTAGTCATATCAGACGCGTCCGGGATCGGATAATAATAAAATAATCCTTCCACCTGTTTGTGTAACCATTCTTCTTCCACCATTCTATCAATTTACCAATATAAACATAATCGTCCTCGGTACCCCTTGCGGAAACGTTACTAAACGCTTCAGGCACGTATCCCTTCCGCCCGTCTTTTGAACCCCTTACTGACGCCCCCAGGCCACCCCTCGACGAATCCGCTACTGCTGGCAATCGAGGCCGCAAGCGAGCCCCACAGCTACCTACTACTGCTCATAAACGCGTTGGAAGACCCTCAAAAAGAGCCCGAACGGATACGTCCTCCCCTACAGATTCCTCTTAAGCCAGCGGTGATGCTTTCCAACCCAGCGATGCTACCTCCCAAGACGCGTCTTCCTCCCCTATCCATTCTTTATCACCCTGTTTTAACCATATTTCTTCTATAATTCTACCAATCCACCAATTATGAATATATTCGCCCTCGGTACCCCTCGCCTAAATGTTGCTAAATATCTAAGGCACGTATCCCTTCCGCCCGTCTTTTGAACCCCTTACTGACGCCCCCAGGCCACCCCTCGACGAATCCGCTACTGCTGGCAATCGAGGCCGCAAGCGAGCCCCACAGCTACCTACTACTGCTCATAAACGCGTTAAAAGGCCCTCAAAAAGAGGAGGAACTACAACAGGCAAATGCGGAGAACACTGCGGAGAACACTGCGGAGAACACTGCGGAGAACACTACGGAGAAATCAAGCGGCAACAAGGCCACCATCGTCAAGAACACGGCTCAGCTCTCCAAGATCCCACGTCACATGCTCTCCACGGTTCCATATCAAATCATCACTCAGCAAGCGGAGAACACCACTGCAACTTGGCCTGTCATCCCCACTACATTAAGGAGCAAGAGGAGGAACTACAACAGGCAAATGCGGAGAACACTGCGGAGAAACCAAGCGGCAACAAGGCCCCCAGCACCAAGAACACGGCTCAGCTCTCCAAGATCCCACGTCATATCAGTCATCCACTCAGTCAGCCACTCAGCTAGCCACTCAGTCTAATACTCTACAAGAGGAGGAGCAAGAGGAGGAACTACAACAGGCAAATGCGGAGAACACTGCGGAGAAACCAAGCGGCAACAAGGCCACCATCGTCAAGAACACGGCTCAGCTCTCCAAGATCCCACGTCATATCAGTCATCCACTCAGTCAGCCACTCAGCTAGCCACTCAGTCTGATACTCTCCCTACAAGAGGAGGAGCAAGAGGAGGAACTACAACAGGCAAATGCGGAGAACACTGCGGAGAAACCAAGCGGCAACAAGGCCACCATCGTCAAGAACACGGCTCAGCTCTCCAAGATCCCACGTCATATCAGTCATCCACTCAGTCAGTCACTCAGCTAGCCACTCAGTCTGATACTCTCCCTACAAGAGGAGGAGCAAGAGAAGGAACTACAACAGGCAAATGCGGAGAACACTGCGGAGAAACCAAGCGGCAATAAGGCCCCCAGCACCAAGAACACGGCTCAGCTCTCCAAGATCCCACGTCATATGCTCTCCACGGTTCCACATCAAATCATCACTCAGCAAGCGGAGAACACCACTGCAACTTAGCCTGTTATCCCCACTACATTAAGGAGGAAGAGAAGAAACTATAACAGGCAAATGCGGAGAACACTACGGAGAACACTACGGAGAACACTGCGGAGAAACCAAGCGGCAACAAGGCCCCCAGCACCAAGAACACGGCTCAGCTCTCCAAGATCCCACGTCATATGCTCTCCACGGTTCCACATCAAATTATCACTCAGCAAGCGGAGAACACCACTGCAACTTAGCCTGTCATCCCCACTACATTAAGGAGGAAGAGGAGGAACTACAACAGATAAATGCGGAGAACACTGCGGAGAACACTATAGAGAACACTGCGGAGAAACCAAGCGGCAACAAGGCCACCATCGTCAGGAACACGGCTCAGCTCTCCAAGATCCCACGTCATATGCTCTCCACGGTTCCACATCAAATCATCACTCAGCAAGCGGAGAACACCACTGCAACTTGCCCTGTCATCCCCACTGCATTGATATGGTACATCACTACAATAACATCACAAGAGGAGGATCTACTGCGACGATCACAGCCAATTAGGCCTCTGTAGGAGGAACATCGAACGATACATATTTGAACGAATTGAAACCGTCCGATGTCTTGCTCTGACAGCTATTTCATTATTCGAAAGATTTCACTGCGGCAGGAGATAATGTGGGATTCACACCACTAATTGGCATGTTGTCTCCATTTCTTTCCGGTATTTCGATACTTCTTGCCATAAGGATATGGCCTTTCTCTGTTTTTTGTAGGCAATTATTACGGATTAATCCTCTACACTCGATACACCTTCCTAATTAGGCCTTAGCGCGCCTCTCTCCGTACATATGTGTCTGTATGTAGGTCAAAAACGCACAGCAAGCGATCAGAGTTCGATTTGACTTAGAAAATAACTCCAACTCCATGAATTTAATTCATGGGCCTTTACTTGTAAATTTTTATATATAATTAAAATCTATAATATTAATATTTTTAATTTTATAATCGATAAAGTTTTAAATATAAAAGCGGGGGAGGTGGGTATATTTGAGATTTAGATACATATAGTGAGAGACGATCTGCTCGCGCCAGCTCGCGGATCGCTTGAAAGCGAGGATTTCTTCGGCTTTGATTTGGTGATAATGAGTATGGCTTTACATCACGTTGATGATCCCGAGGCAATGGTAACAAAGTCGGTAGAGCGTTTGAAGCCTGGTGGAACGGTAGTGATTATCGACTGGATCCCCTCAGAGAGAGCATTTTCTCAGAGCAGTAGCAGTCACAGCCATGAAAACTCTCACGGCTATGGAACCGATTCTGGGCTCCCAAGAGATGGTGGCCCAGGACAGCACCCGGGCTCGCACACTGTATCATTTGACGGCTTCACCAAGGAGCATATGGATGGCATGTTCGCCAAAGCACAATGCAGCGAAACCGACTATGTCCTAGCAGCGTCCCCATCTGAAGTCCCGCCAGATCCTAGCGGTCAGAAGCAGATGTTCTTCGCTAAGGGCACGAAGCATGATAGGAAATGACTATTTTGGCCACGATAAGGAGTGATTCCTTATGCAGAAAAAAGAGGATCCAAAGCTTGCTCCTGGCTCGCTTCCGACTCGCTGACCGAGGCGGGTTCTGTGACACGTAAATGTTCCTGACTAAAGTACATTGAATTCATCTGGCCTTGAAGGGACCCATGCCAGTCTCCCAAACTTCCTTTCTTGTTCTACGTTCTCCTCCAGTTCCCCAAGTTTGTTGACTTCATTGCGATCATGGCACCCCGAGAATGCCATCTCCATGGTGTACACTGGGCTCCCGTCTCGTATGAGGGGCATTATTGCTACCGTCATTCCAAAGATAGCTGTTACTTTCGCCGAAAGAAATTCTGCTGACCCTCCCAAAGTCGACTTCGCAACTGCTGCGAACTGACGTGTGCGTGACGAGGTAGTCGCTATCTACAACGAAGCTGTTGCGCGGGACCTCTACCCAGAAGTAAACGATTTCTCATCTCGCTTCATCTCGCACTGCATATTCCTATCCATACTTTCTTCAATGTCTACCCTGCGCATCTACTCAAATCTCTTACCCTCGCTCAGAATCTCTCTGGCCCTCGAGGTTCGGGCGACCACCCTGCCCTCCTCTCTGCCCTCGCCTCCTTCTTCAATGCAGACTTCCGGCCCGCGATTCAAGTGCTACCCTCGTACATCGTCATAGCTACCGACCGCAGCTCCTGCCTAGACCGACTCTTCTATACGATCTGCGACGCCGGCAACAGCGTGCTGGTTCTGGCACCTTATTGGAGTACTAGTACGTGTTAACACGATCCTCTTCCATATCTGACCCGACCGAGCATATAATTCCATAAACAAACTGTCCGAGTCACTTCAGATATATCCTTCAAGCTGCATTAGTACTATGGGTAACCATACTATCCATGGATAGGACGTGCTATTATTGGGAATTTGTCTCTATCCATATATGATACGCACCCATACGTAAAACGATGTTATCCATGGATGACTATGTACCACGAGTAACGCGCGAACACAAGCGCATAACTCGCGCGGTCGTCTTCGGCCTTACACCTACGAGAAAAGTCCTTGAAACGTCTGACTCCGGGGTCGGAACTGCGCTGGCGTTGGGGTAGGCTTTGCGGTGCATCTGTCGACTGGCGCTGTCAGTTACGAACATCACCCTTCAATGTATGTATTGGACCGAGATCA